GGGGGCGGCCGGGGGCGGCCGGGGGCGGCTGGGGGCGGCCGGGGTCGGCGGTACTGATACGGCACTCGGCGAGGCACAACAGTGAACCAAGTGAACGGACGCGATAGCGGGCTTGCGGCTCCAGCAGCGGCGCCTCCAGCAGCAGCGGCTCAACCAGAGTGGAATCGGGAATCTGACCAATCGGATCGGGGGCGTTGTATCCTATAAAGTTTTCTATAATGTGGTTTTTATGGCCACTTTTTCCTCCTTTTTCTGCCGTAGGCACACAAACGATTGCGCGCCCCGTTCCTTCAGACTGCCCCAGATTTCTCCCTCAGCCCCGCACCACCTGGTCGTTTGCGCGGCCCCTAATTGCTGAGCGAGGCATTCCCCAGCGTTCTATCCGGCCTCGGCGGGGCCCGTCCGTCCACCCTCCGCGGCGGCCATTTGCCGGTCCAGATCGTACCCTACACAGCGAAACAGAACGCTAACCGGCGTCGTGGAGGAGAAGGACTTTCGGGTGCGCGCGGGGGCTGCAAATTATGATCCTCCCCTAACAAGGTGGTGCGTGCGTCTTCCTCCTCCTCGAAGCAGCGGTGTGCCGCCGAGCCGTGTCGTCTTCCGCACTGTTGACAAAATGGTTGCTCTCCCGCCGAGACGGGGCGGAGGAGGGATTAGTCCCCGTCGCGTGGCGCGCTGACTAATTCCCAGCCGTCACGGGCGATTCGAAAGTTATTACTCACGGCGACGACCGAGTAGTAGTCCGGTGAGGAAAACACTTCCCTCAAATGGATCCCCTCGGCGTTGTACCCCCAAGGAAAGAGACGCGCGCGCGCTCCCCCATAAAGATAAAATACGTCCCCAGTGAGCGAACCCCTCCCACCTCGGGGTGTGGACCTGCCGTTGGACCAGCCCGTCGGCACCTCCTCCTCCTCCACCCCCAGCAGCAGCGGCTACACCGGGCCGGGGCCCCCTTGCGACCAGTTCGACTGATTGCGATATAAAAGTCTGCGGGCTGGGTGGGGATGGGGGGCGCCGGGGGCGCAGAGGGCGGCCCAGCGAGAGGCCTACACTGCCTCGAGGCACGTGTCGACGCAGATTGGAGTAATGGACACGGAGCAGGAGGCGCGAGTAAACTGAGGGGGGGGGGGGGCGTTTCGTACTTTTGGAAACGATGCGAGGACGAGGAACGGACTACGTACATTCTTATTCTTTTGGGGGGGATTTGGAACCGCAACGAAATATGCAAAAAAGGAGCACGGATGCAATTTTTTTATCTTTCTTCGCTAACAGCGAAGCCGGAGAGGAAATTAAATTCTGAAACCTGCGCAGTTCGACGTGGGCCCCAAGGGACCGGGGGAGGGGGGGGGGGCGGCCGAGGAGAGCACCGCTCTCCTCCCGGCCAAGCCTGAACCCCGCGGCAATTATTTAAATCGTCGCCCAGAGCAGCTCTCCCGTTAAGCGGGCGATTATTGCCGCCAGCGGAGGGCGCGCTACCCGCAGCGGGAACTCGTCGGCGGGGAGGACTCCAGAAAGTCTGGTGAAGCACGGCGACGACGTCGTGGTGTCGGCGGCGTCCTCGGCGGGGCGTCTTACCTGCGGCTCGTGCGCGCGCCGGGTCCTCACGTTGTCATCCGCCGCGTCGAGTGGATATGGATGCCTGATATGTCCCGGGTACGAGCGGATATGAGCTGGATATGCTTGGTGTGCGGCGGCGGCGCGGCGTGAGAGCGGCCTGAGCGGCTCGGCGGCGGGGGCGCGGGGCCTGGGGTGGGCCGGTGGGCAGCAGCAGCCTGGTGGGCGTGCGGGCGGCGGTGCGGAGCGTCTCTGCCAGCCCTGGCCTGGTGGCCCATCCGCGCTCGCGGCGGGGTCCTAGCGGGGCCGGGGGGCGGCGGCGCCCGCCCGACCGCTGCCAGCGCCCCTAGCCGCCCGCCCCGGCCCGGTACAGCTCTGGAGCAAGGGGGAGGCGCAGCGTAGGCCACGCAGGCACGTGGCCGTGCGGCGGGTTGCCTACCCTCCGGACTGCAGGCGCCCTCCACCACACTAGTTGCCTCTCTGAGCACACAGCGCCCCGTGTAAGGGGGCCGTGTGTCCTGGTCCATCAAGTGTGATGGGGACGGAAGGGGCCCTTCTCTTTTAGAAACTTTCAGGGGCGGTTCTAGGAAAGTGCGTGGGGCCCGGGTGCACCCATAGCAGAGGGCAGCGAAAACACTTGGGCATAATGGATTCTCGCTTTAAGCTGGCATTTCATACATTTTTTGGCTGTTGTATTTTTGGTTTGGTTTGGTGCTCCTGTTAGAGATCGACCACTGTAACGGAAAGGATG